CATGTAACCTAATCCATGTCACCTTTTGGAGGGTCAGCAGAAATGTGGACCACAACCCCCTTGCCTGTGAGGATTACATGTGATTGGGAAAACCAGCAATGACACTATGGAGTTAAGGCACAGGGAAGACCACAACGGCTTTCAGATTTAGGATTCTGGAGTCTTGCAGAACAAATCCCAGCTCCATGATTGACCATCTGTGTGTTATCACATACGTCACTTAACCTCTTTGAATGTCAGCACTTTTCTCTATAAAACTGGGGCTCACAACACTACCTCTCCCCCAGAAATGTGGAGAGGAGAATGAGGTAAGAGAGAGCTTTTCCTTGTTTGTGATGGTGTCAATGTCAAGTTCTTCTTGGTGTGGCTTAGCCTGGTGTATTTACAGAAGAGTGGACTCTGAGTTCAATGGATCAGTTCCTGGGGGCTATCAGGGAGAACTCTACCCTGTACCCTTGATCTGCAATCCTCTCACTTTCCAAGGAGGATGATAGATAATCATTTCCACCGTAAGATCTTTGTGTACTTGGATGTGAAGACATATGGCGGAAACTCAGCTGGAAAGTCATTAGCTCTGAGATGGGAAAACCAAGGGTTGGAGACACAGTGAGCAACTTGTGACTATCTGGGCAGACAAGGAATGAGCAAGTCTGGTGTAGAGCTCAGGCCTCCAGGGAAGACACGCTGGAGACAAGCTAACGACTGGGGACTCTATCCCTTAGGTGTGAGGTGAAGTGGCAGGGAGATAACCCATACTCACAAGACATCCTGGCGTAGTGGTTAAGTGCAAGGCCCTTAGAGCCAGACTACCTGGGTTCAAATCCCAGCCCTGACATGTACAATGTACATGCCTTGTCATGCAGCTGGAAATTGTTACCCCTGCACCTCCAATAGAGTAGATATTATTATAAGCCTTTGATAGAGGAAGTCAAATTATACAAAATTAAAATACATGTGTTTAGCCAAAAAAAGAAAGTGAGGGGGGAGGGAAGCATTTGAATTAGGTCAGGAACACACATGCTGAGTACAGTTGAGATGGCCTGGGTATCTGTTCTTCCCTCAGTCGGTCTCATTCAGGCTTTCTGCTTGAAGCATCCCCTTCCTACCTCCTAAAAAATCCAGCCCCTGTTGATAGGTTAAGTATTGCTCTAGCCATATGGAAGCAACCTGACCCATTCCTGGTTTTGTGGATCAAGACACTGCTTGAATCTCCAAGCATTGGATGTTCGCCTCCAGGCAGGACCCAACTCTGCAATATACCACTCTCTTTGCCATGTATTCTCTCCTCCCTGGGCTATGATCCCTCCTTGTGTGGAACTCAGGGCTCTGCACAATTTCCATACAAGCCCAACTTCTCCTCTCTACTACCAGAAAGCATACTAAAAGACAGGGGACTGAAGTGGTTGGTTCCATAGGAAAATAATAACCTCAAATCCACTCCTTAGTCTTACCAATTACCAGTGAAGATGCTATCCTCGACTGGATGTCAGAAATAAAAATCAGTGGTGGTTGAGCTGGAAAGGTGGCTCGGTGGTAGAGTGCTTGCCTTGCATGCAGGAGTCCCTGATTTCTATTCCTCAGCACCATCAGAAAAAGCTGGAAGTGGCACTGTGGCTCAAGAGCTGGAGTGCTAGCCTTGAGCTGAAGAGCTGAGGGACAGTGCCCAAGCCCAGAGTTCAGGCCCCGCGACCAACCCCCCCCCCAAAAAAAAATCAGTGGTTGTCCGTTTTCAGACAAGGCATTTGATCTTGAGTGGAAAATTAATTACCAGTAGCCTGCTTGCAGAGTGACAAAGTTTTGTGCCTTAGAAAACCCATAGACAAACAGGGCTAATTAAAGACTGACTAGCAAGGGGAAGAATGGACTGTAATAAAATGAAAAAATGGGTAGAAACTGTGTATGTGCTAGAAAGCACACACCCAGAAAGGCCTTCTCCCCACCCCTACAAAAGAACAACCAAGGAAAGAGGGTAGAGACAGCCCATAGCTCACTTCTTGACTTCAACCAACCTCAAGAGGGGTGCATGTGTTGGAATTACCCAATAGAAAGCAATGTAACTTTGGTGACATCTGGGAAGGAATGTAAACCCCACAATTCTCAGGCCAGTGAGGGGTTAGAGGAAGGGCCCCACGTGTTAGACCCAAATGGCTTGTTGTAAAAGTGGAAAGGGCGTCTGCCATCAGACACTGGGTCTTGCAATACAATCATGAAAGTCTTGCTTTTGCTGCATTCCTGGCCTCGAGCATGAACAAGTTCAGTGTGGGTCTCACAATGAACCTGGGTCACAAATGACTGATCGCTTCCAGTGGCAACACAGTCACCTGAAACTAAGAACTGCTTGTTCAAGATTGCACAGACAAATCCTTGCAAAGGAGGTCTGCCTGTAGTTCATTTACCAGGAAGACCATCCTTCATCAAATCATCCCCAAGAGTCGGTTTGGGTACCACCCATGGCAAAGGAAGGGGCTAGACCTACAGATTTAAACCCTAGAGGTTTAAGTCCTGCCTGTTACCAACTGAATATGCAATATAAATGATGATTTACTTACTATTTTCTTTTATATTAACTTTTTCCTATAAAGAATTCTTTTAAAGAGGCTGAAATTTTAGAATTGTGGTTCAAAGTCAGCCCAGGGTAAGAAAGTCCATGAGACTCTTATGTCCAATTAACCACTAAAAAAAATGTTAGAAGTGGAACTGTGGCTCAAGTGGTAGAGCACCAACATTGAGCAAAAAGGCTAAGAGACAGAGCCCAAGCCCTGATTTCAAGCCTTAGTACTAATGTGCACATATGCACATGCACGTGTGCACATACACACATTTTAAGAGAAAATGGTAGTCCTTCTTGGTGCACAAAAATGAATCTCAAAAACTGCTTAATAAGCCGGGTGCTGGTGGCTCACGCCTGTAATCCTAGCTGCTCAGAAGGCTGAGATCTGAGGATCGCGGTTCAAAGCCAGCCCGGGCAGGAGAGACCGTGAGACTCCTATCTCCAATAAACCACCAGAAAACTGGAAGTGGTGCTGTAGCTCAAGTGGTAGAGCGCTCGCCTTGAGCTGAAGAGCTGAGGGACAGCGCCCAGGCCCAGAGTTCAAGCCCCACGACCGACCAAAAAAAAAAACTGCTTAATAAATTTAAAAAATCAAGCATTTATTTTACCCTTTCTGTATGAACCTGACCATCATGGAATGATGAAATTACTTTGTGTGTGTGTGTGTGTGTGTGTGTGTGTGTGTGTGCGCGCGCGTGCGCGCAAGTGCACTGGTACTAGGGCTTGAACTAAGGGCCTTGCGGTGTCCCTGAGCTTTTGTGCTCAAGGGTAATTCTCTACCACTTGAGCCACAATGGCACTTCTGACTTTTTGGTGAAGGTAAGGGTCTTGAGGGCTTTCCCATCCTGGGCTGGCTTTGAACTATAATCCTCAAATCTCAGCCTCCTGAGTAGCTAGGATTACAGATGTGTGCCACTGGAATCTAGCAGAAACTACAAACACATTTTTCACAACAGATCCCAACTTGTGATGGAAAGGGGAATGATACAGTTAGGCTAACATCCTTTTACAATCCCCAATGAATCAATGAGCCTAAGTACCAAGCAGCATCACTGAGAGAGACCAGAAGATACGTGACTGGAAATGAAAGAACTCACTCCCTCCACAGGGGTAGAAAACATCCAACCCACAGCCCACAAGCCTGTGAAAGCATTTGTTACAAGACACCTAAGGCTTCTCATTGGCTGTCCGCCGAGGCTTGCTGCCGGTATTGATAATTTTATATGTCCTGTAATAATGTTCTAACTATCCAAGTTGCCTTTGGCAGAAAAAAAAAAAAAGAAAAAGTTCCCTCCCCCAGGGGTCTTGCAAGTAGGATTAAAGCTGAGTCTGACGAAGCATCTAGATCCTAGTTTCCAATTTTCAGAAAATAGGACAGGGGAATGTGCTGAGATGCAGTAGGACTATCTAGTAAGCAAACCCCAGACCGAGAAAAACATTACAGATCAAACAGCCCAGGATTTCCAGTAGATGAAAGAACAGATAGAAGAAAGGGATGGGAGAGCTGGGGAGGGGGGGGTTGTATCACTAAAGACTTAAAATTAGATGCAACACAGTAGCGTCCTATCTCACAAAGAGGTGGTCTTTGAAATCATCGGGAAAGTTGGAAAAAGAGCGAACCCAAATTAATCTCAAGGATTCTCTCAGAGCGTCTTTAAACCACAAGGCCCTTATGACCTCAGAAGCCACAGCTGCAAGAATTAACTTGGTACCTCTTCATAGTGGGTCTGTGGCCTCTTCTTCCTCCACTGTGGAGGCTGAGATCAGATGAGCAGAGAGAAAGGGATCCCTCTCGCTATTGAAGGCAGAACTGAAATCACAGCAAGCGCAGCGTACAAATGTTCCCTTCTCAATCCGACAGTCATGGCTCTGAGCTCACTTGTCCCAATGAGTGGACACTGCAGGGCTGGGCAATCATACAACCCCTTCTTTGAGGAGACCCCTTGCAAATCAGAGCCTGGGCACTGTCCCTGAGTTTTTGTGATCAAGGCTAGGTGCTCTACCATTTGAGCCACAGATCCACTTCCAGCTTTTTGGGTGACTAATTGGAACTAAGGGTCTCATGGACTTTGTTGCCCAGGCTGGCTTTGAACCATTATCCTCCAATCTCAGCCTACTGAGGAGCTCGGATAACAGGCGTGAGCCACTGGCATCCAGCTAGTCTGTGGATCTTTGTACTGAGTTCCTGCCTCAAAGTCATGGTCTGCTGTCGGAATACAGTTCCACCCTGATGGTTATGAAATCAATTGCCTGAGTTCCTTAATCTGAGTTGGCTCAGCATCTGACTCAGGAATTCTTGGTTGACTTTCCTGGGCCTAGCACCATTTTTTTTTCTATAATATCAAGGGCTCAGGTAGCTCATTGGACAGGGGACTGCTGAGCCATAACTTTCAGCCAAAGCTTGGGTACAGCCCCAGATGTACTCTTCCAGGGCCACTGGATAAGTTACCATAGTCTGGAAGCAGGAGTGGAGCTGGGTCAGGAAGGGCGGCTTGCCGGGCAGGGCCAGCACCCGCTTCTCCACCATCGTGCACTCCACGTCGTCATCTTGGATCACCACATCCTTCTTCAGGATCTTCACTGCGTACAGCTCATCCGTGCCCTTCCTCTCAGAGAGCATCACCTGGGGAAGACAGAAGATACATCAGGGAAGTGACGTGCTGGGCCCAGCTGCAGACAGCTGTTCACGGTCCCAGCCACTCCCAGTGTGGCCGTCTGCTAACTGGGAGACAAGGGGACCGTGCTGACCCCAATCAATCCAGAGGGTACAAGGAGAGCAGAGAGGACCCAGCACTGACCTCTTCCTGATACGCATCAGTGCCTCGCTCACGTGGTTAGAATAAAATAGCCTTGTTTAATCCACTGGCATAATCTAAGAGCCCACAATAGTACTTGCACATAGTAGATGTTCAATAAACACTTATGGAACCAGTGAATGCCTGTCAGAAGTGTGTATGGGACACTTGTTCCTTTATTCATTCTGTGATGAAATGTTCTCAAACAGCCTGCTAAGCACAGGTAACATAAGCACGCTTGAATGCTGGAGAAGGAGAAAGTCTTTGGGCAATTTGTGGTAGGGTTGTTGCGCGACATAGTCTAATGGAGTTCTCTGTTGTCTTGGGGCTTCTGAGGACACTGATCATGGTCAGGACCAGTGGCTGGTGAACATATTATTTTTCTTGGTTTTGAGTATCCAGGGGGAGCAATGATATAGGTACTACCCTAAAAAAGGTTCTGGAAAGCTCAAGGAAGAACCACATTACAGAAATCCAATCTGATCTGGGAGCTCCTGGGAAGGCTTCCTGGAAGAATAAATTAACAGATTGATATAGTTACTCTATACACTGTGTCCTCTTCTTTGTGTGTATTAATCATCACCAAATTCTTAAGCACTTACCAGGATAGCCAAGCAATTATTGGTTTACATTGGCTATTTTCATTTACTTTGCATTATAGTCTAGGAAGTAGGTAGACTGTGAACCTCCATTGTACAGGAAACTGAGGCCCAGAAAGGTTAAGTAAGCTGCATACACCACAATTCCATAAAGCCAGAACCAAGATTTGAACTCAGTTCTGTCTGACCAAAGTTCCTGCCTTCTAAAAACAACTGCAGGTGAGCTCCAGAAGAGTGCTCAAGGTGGTTAAAGAAAGGGAGTGCACACACCTGACTCGGATGTAGCACCAGAGAATGCACCAGAGACCCAAGACACAGGGGACAGGAAGCTCAGCACAGCTTGCTCAGCTGGTCTCACTGGACTTAAGACACAGAAGCTCCATGCCTCCTACATGAATGCACTGAAGCTTCCAGGCTGAGCTCACAGACTCCTTGTCTGAGCTCCTGACACAGTAAGCAGTGATCCAGGGCAGGACAGATGCTGGGATGTAGGGCATTGTAGGAAAAGGTTTCGGGCATATATTTCCACAGCAACAATGAAGTTCCTCAGCCCCACAATGAAGTCTAAAAGCTGCCCTCCTGCTCGATCTGACCTGCTGGGCTTTGAGTCAGATCTCAAAACCCATCTACTACTTTTGGTGGCGAGGAGGGGCCCACCAGGGTAGATGGCCCCAGCTCTTCTGTCTTGTCTCCCTGGTGCCCACTGGTTTTCCTCCCTCAGCCGCTCAGCAAGACAGATCCCAAGACCGCAGCAAGCAACTGTTCTAAGATGTAGAATCAGGAGATGGAAGACTCTCCTGGGAGAACCAGGCTAGTTAAGGTGAGGTAGGGAACAAGCAAGTGCTCTTCCCATGGGGCACTGGAGTGGAGCGATTGCAGTGGGAGAACATCAGAGACAGGTAGAAGGATCCTGGAAGCAGGTGGGAGGGACTTGACACTGACACACAGCCAATCCTGGATGCCTGTGGCTCCCACTCCTTTTCCAAGAGCAAGGGAACCATGCTGGAGTCTATGAATGACATCTTAGCCCCCTGCTTAAGACCACAGGGCAGAGACCAGGATAAACAGCCGCTATCCGCTTTTAGTTAGTTTCCCTTCCAGGGAAAGACACTGAGACACTTCAGAGATGATCTTTCCTGAGCCAAGAATTATTTCTAAAAGCTGTAGCCCAGATCATACAACCTGCATGCCTGAAATCCTCCGTGGTTCCCCAAGCCTTGGCATTTCATGATCTTTTCTTCTGACTATTCCATTCCCGTGGTTTGCGATGTCCTTCTACACCCTACCACTGCCTAGAAAAGACGAAGGTCACTTCTCATGACCTCCAAGAATTCTCCAGCCCTGATGACTCCCTTCAGACAAAGCAACCGCCACCTCCCAGGCACCAGTTCTGCCAGCACTCACCTCTTCTACTTGTGTGTGTGTGTGTGTGTGTGTGTGTGTGTGTGTGTGTGTACTAGGGCTTGGATTCAAGGCCAAGGCCATCTCCCTTGGCTTTTTTTTTAAACTTAAGGCTGGCACTCTACCACTTGGGCCACAGCTCCACTCCTGGCTTTTTGCTGATTAATTAGAAACGAGTCTCTTGAATTTTTTTGTTCCAGGCTAACTTTGAAACTTGATCCTCAGATCTCAGTCTACTGAGTAACTAAGATTACAGGCATAAGCCACCAGGCCTGACTCCTTTTCTCTCTCTATTTTTTCCTGCTTAGCCCTTTCAAATTCTGGTCATGTGCCTAGCACTTGAAGATTACACAGGAGAGAAAAAGAGGTGGGGGGAAATAGCCCTACGCAGCATTAGCAAAGGCAATGGTCGCATTCTAAACTATTCCTTTAAGTGGAGATTCCAGTCTTTTATGAATTGTCTTAAGCAGTTCCTGGAGCTTCCAGAAACTTTAATATCAACATGGAGGGCGTGGGCTGTTTGCTCAGCTGTGCCTCCGTCTCCAGGGCCCGGGTCCCAAACAGATGGAAAGGACGTGTTGAAGTGCCGTTCTTATCAAATTCTCAGCCACATCTGTTAGCCAAGAGGCTTCTGGGAAAGTTATAATAAACAGCAGAACTCCAGGGGCAAAACCTAAAACAGAGAAAAGTAGCCCAGGAATTCCTGGCTGGAAAGTTGGTTATGATGAGCTTTGCCAGCAAGTCCCACAGGTAAAGTGGGCCAGGAATCCTGGCCTACATCCATGGGGTGGGCTAATGCTCTAGCGTGTTTTTGCTATGAGTTGAGAATAAGAACAGCTAGTGATGTGTCCAGGATCACTGCACACTAGCTGTGTGACTTTGGGAGATTCTCTGAACTTCTCTGAGCCTTAGTATTCTCATTTATAAAAAGAAGACGGTTACCAGGGGCCCATGGTTTATGCCTGTAATCTGAGCTACTCAGAAGGCTCAGAGCTGAGGGTCAGGGTTCTAAGCCAGCACAGGCAGGAATGTCTGTGTAACTCATCTCTGATTAAGCACCAAAAAACTGAAAGTGGAACTTCAGCTCAAGTGGTAGAAGGCTGGCCTGGAGCACAAAAGCTCAGGGCATTGTCCAAAGTCAACAATGTCAGCAATATGGATTCCTTTTGACTTTGAGAAAGATTGGCCAATGCCAGCTCTGGTAGCTGCCAGCAGGCCTTGGCATCCCTTGGTTTATAGACACATTACTCCCATTTCTGCCAGTGCCTTCACATGGTGATCTCTACTGGGTGCGCTGTGTCAGCGTCCCAATGTCCCTTTTCTTACAAGGACACCAGCCATGGATGTGATCAGGGCCCACGCTAGTCCAATACCACCTCATCCTATCTCAATGACCTCTCTACAGACCTCTCTCTGAGTGAAGACCACCTTTTGAGGTGCCCGTGGCCAGGACTTGAACACACAATCTCAAGATGACACAATCCTATGCATGATAGTAGTTCTCCTCAACAGTCTCTCATTTGAGAAAGAACACGAGACTGATGGTACCTTTTGAACCCATATCTGATTCCCAGCTGGCTGGGGAGTGTGAAACTTCAAGCAATAAAGACCCTTCTCCTCACTCATCCCCTCCTCAACAGACACCTGCCCCAAGTTCAGAGCCCCCTTCTCCCCCTACTTCATTCTGCTCCCTCACACCTCTCCTTCAATGCACCCACATACTTTGTTGGCTCTCTGTCTGACCTAGGCACCTGATCCACACTGCTGGTAATGGGGGGGAAAGATTCTTTTTTTTTCTTCTTCTTCTTCTTTTTTTATATTGTAGGTCATGGGGCTTGATCTCTGTGCCTGGATGCTGTCCCTCAGCTCTTCAGCTGAAGGCCAGTGCTCTACCACCAGAGCCACAGCACCACTTCCAGTTTTCTGGTGGTTTATTGGAGACAAGAGTCTCATGGACTTTCCTGCCCGGGCTGGCTTTGAACCATGATCCTCAGATCTCAGCCTCTTGAGTAGCTAGGATTCCAGGTGTGAGCCACCAGTGGCCAGCCTGAGGGGGAAAGATTCTAACTTGATGATTTCAGACAGTGCATTGAAAACAGAGGCAGAGAAATTGGGTTCTGAGGATCCCCTGATACTTAGGAAAGGACACCAGAAAGGTTATAAAGAGTGACGATGAGTTTGGAAGAATGGACGAGATCATGCTTTTCTCGAATGCTTAGAATGAGAGGAAATAGCTGTGGGTAGATTAGCTGCAGCACTTAAGAGTCATCTGCTGGATCATCTTTCTACTGTTCAGGCGCACTTTCTTCGAGGATCCTGTGATCTCTGGAGCTACCTCCTGTCTGCATTCACCCAGCCCCATGGACCCTTGCAGCGGGGCTCCAACCAGCTGAGCTCTAAGGCAGACACAGCGCCTGCCCTCCCCCAGGCCACAGGCTCTCCTTGCCTTTGTCCCGCCTGCTCCCAGCAAGCTGTTGTCTGCCCCCTCCGTGCTGTGCGGCACATTTTAAAATTCCCTGCAGATCCGTGAGAAGCTGATGTGTGGGCCATGTTCCAGACCAATTAAATCAGAATCTTCTCAATCTTTGGGTCCTTCCTGAGCCAAGGTCTAACCAGCACCGGGAGAGGACAGGGAAGTGAACTGGCCAGAGGCCCTCAGGACATGTTGTAACCAGGAGCTGGAACATGAGCCAAATGCTCTCTATCAGCTTCCCCGCAAGGGCACTCGCCCTGTGGAGAGGAGGATTTTGACAGAAAACCGGGTGCAGACTGGTTTCATGATGAAGAGAATGTCAGCATCCTCTCGGCGACCACCTGATAGGTAGCAG